CTCTTTATCCCTCCTTGTTTTAGGTCCACTGGGGGCAGAAAGATCGCCACTCCACAATTTTTACAATAGTCATATCCCTCTTACAAGGAAAGAATAACATAAAAATAAATGGATACAAAGTAAGTGCACCCTCAGTGAGCCTCAGCCTAAAGCAGGTCTTGAAGCTCACTCTGACACCACGTTCGGCCCCCGGGACTGCAGGTCAGCAGAGAGCTCCGACTCTCCCAGGGCCACCACTGGTTTTGACTGATCCAAGGGCTGAGCTGCTTCCTCCAGGACCTGGATGCTCGCTCACGGAATCCTCAGGACAATCCTGCAAGATGCAACTGGTTCTCCCGAATTCGCAAATGGGGGCACTGAGGCCAGCAAGGGTAAATGACTCACATGCAGGGTCAGCCCACCTCCTGTCCACAGAAACCCAGCCTCAGGGCTGGAGCCCCTGCACTGGGGGAGTGGACTCCTTGCAGGCTCCAGTTTGTCCGGAAGGATCCAGAGACAGAGACCCCACCCCCAGACTCTGGTTGCCAGGACGACAGGGCCTCCCTTCTGGGCTACGCTAGAAATTTGCATTTTAATGGATGTACCTAGAATTAAAGGGCTGAGTCTGGAAGGGACAACCCCTCCCTATCCCCACTCTGCCCTCGGAACTCCCACCTCAGAGCCCCATGAGGCCCAGAACCAGCTGCTCCCTACCACTTACCCTCTCTTTTCCACACTCTTCATGCCTCAGGTGGCAGAGTCTGTCCCCACTGCCCAGACGGGGATACTGAGGCTCAGAGCAGAAGGACTTTTTTTTGTTTGTTTGTTTTGTTTTTTCCAGTACAGGGAATCGAACTCATGACCTTGCGCTTGTCAGGCAGGCGCTGTGCTGCTGAGCTAAATCCCCAGCCCCCCCACAAGGACTCATTTAAGGTCTCACAGTGAGGTCAGCTCCACCAAGTCCAGGCTCCATCCCGCTCCTCCCCACTGGTAAGTTGGTCTGGGACCAGCTGGCTGGAGGGGGCTCTTTGCTCCCCAAGGACCCCACATGCTCCAAGTTCAGCCTCTCCCCCTGTTCCTCTCCATAGCTCTAGGGGATGCACCCATTTATCCCATTCCAAGAAGGGCTGGCATGGACCCAAGTCACACAGCAACTTGGGAGCAGAGCCCTGTCTGGCTGCTCAAGGTAGATTGGGTGTGATGGCAAATGCCTGTGATTCCAGGACTCAGAGGCTGAGGCAGGAGGATCCCTCCAAGTTTGAGGCCAGCCAGGGCTACCCAGTGAGTTCAAGCCCAGCCTGAGCTATATAGCGAGACCCTGTCTCAAAAACCAAAAAGACTGGACTGCGGATGTAGCTCAATGGTAGAGAGTTTGCCTAGCATGTGTGAGGCCCTGGATTTAATTTCTTTTTTCTTTGTTGTTTTTTGTTTGTGTGTTTGTGTGTTTGCTTCCTTTTTGATACAAGGTCTAGCTATGTAGTCCACCAAGCCTGGCTGGGTGCAATTCTGAAACTGCCAAAATAAAGACCCTACTTCTGACCCTCACCAAGGTCACTGCCTGACCTTCAGGGAATTTCCAGCAGCTTCTTCCTGCCTCTGTGTCCGTGTGTGCAAATGTGCACGCGGGTGTGTGCATGTGTGTGTGTTACTGGAGACTGAAACCTTTGTGCTGAGTTACATCCCCAGCCCTTTTTACTTTTTATTTCTGAGACAGGGTCTCACTACGTTGCCTAGGCTGGACTCCAACTTGTGATTCTCCTGCCTCAGCCTCCTAGAGTTTTGGGATTACACCATGCCCAGCTGGCAAGATGATTACTGTATTACACTGAGCTCACAAATGGGGAAGCTGAAGCCCGAGGAGGTAGTGCACACCTGTGATCCCAACACTTGGGAGGCTGAGGCAGGAGGATCACTGCAAGTTCCAGACCAGCCTGGGCTACAAAGTGAGCTCAAGGCCAGCCTGAAGGGCATAGGGAGACCCTGTCTCAAAAAGACAAAGAAAAAAAAAGGGCGGGGGGACTGAAGCACAGAGAGGTAATGTGAGTTGCGCAGGGCACGCACTAATGAGCGGGGTAAAATCAGGAGTTCAAGCTGCCCAGCCGGAATCCAGATGGCGGAAGGCAGGAGCTCGGGGCCTCCACCGTCCCCGAGCCTGGGAGGACGGCTGGGCGACACTGCCCAAAACCGGGTTCCCAAGGCGGACGCCAGATCCAAGACGGAAGGCAGCTCCAGCGTCAGCCCTGGACCTTGGGACACGGGCCCCAGCATTGCCTACCTCCCGAGGTCGCCCCCGCCACCCTTCAGTCCCCACCAGCACCACCAGGCGCTGTGGGCCTGGAAAACAGAAAGAGCCTGTGACCGGGTTAGGAAAGAGCCCCGGGCCGAGGGTCCTCTCGGCGGAGGGCTGCTCTCGCCTGTGTGAGCCCCGGCGCGGGGGCGGGAGGGAGGAGGCGCAGGCGCGAGGACGCAACTGGAAATGCCCTCGGCTCTCAGTTTGAAGGTGGCCAGAGGCCAGGTGCGTGGGGCAGAGGGAGAGCGAGGAGTCAGAGACACGGAGACGTGGAGCCTGCAGGGGCGGAAGTCCGAGACAGGCCGGGCCGCACAGACACAAGACGGGGCCGGCGAGGCCAGCAAGAGCCACTCCGACCCCAACGCCGAGACACACAGCGCAGAGTCCCGAGCACCCCGCACCCGCGATCTCAGGCTCTCACACATGCACACACGCGCGCCCACACCCCGTGGGAGCCGCACGGCCCCGTGAGCCTGACAGGCAGCAGGGGTCCACGCGGGCTGTGCGCGGGGGCACAGGACGCAGCGCAGTGGCTAGGCCTGTGACGTCGTACCTGAGCCGCTGGCAAGGCCCTGTTCTGGGTTCCTGGGGGTTTCACTGGGGGCTCTGCACGCCCCCTGCAAGGGAGCTACTTCCCAGCCCCGTGGCGCAGAGGCGGAGGCAGAGGCAGCTCTGCTAAGGGGTTGCCTGGGTCACATCCCCCTGCCGCTGTCCCGGGGGTGGGAGACCTCGCCTCCCCTCTGGGCAGCCCAGCCTAGTGGCTCTGCCTCAGCCTCCCCGCTCAGGCCAGGCCCTGGAGGGGATCTGGCCCCAGGCGTGGAAGCAGCAGGACAGGGGTAGCAGGGAGCCAAGCCACACGATGCTGGCTGCAAAGAGCCAACTGAGGCTGCGGGGCGTCCACACCTCCACACGGCTCCCCAGCCAGAGCTGGGGCCCACTGGGTAGCACGAAAGCTGTCCTGTGGCGCCACCTAGTGGTCTCCTGACCGAAGTGACGCCCAAACAGCTTGGTCCTTCGCCGAATCTAGGGATGCTCACCACATCCCAGGACTTCTCTACTCGGCTGTGCACCTGTGTCCCAAAAGCGTCCTTTCTCCATCCTATCCGTGCCTTTGTGAAGCGCTGACTGTATGCCAAGCGCTGTTCCTGGCAATAGGGATCTAGTAATGAACGAAACAGAGCCCCTCCTGCGGCTGCCAAGGAAAATAAACAACAAATATAAACAAGGCAGAGCACCTGTCTGACAACAGGACAGGGTTTCAGGCGCCCCTCGGCCCATAGGGCAGAGTAGAAAGTCCAGCCCTGGAGACCGTTGTCCCCACACCACCCCTTCCTGTCCCGCGGGCTGCTCCAGGGGTAGCGTCGCAGGGGACAGACCCCCACGACAACAGCCTCCCGCCTGGACGCCTCTCTGGACGTGGACAGCTCTCACGCAGTCTGACAGACCTCCAGCGGCGGCGCCACCTGTGCCACCTCCTCGGGTTCCTTGGCCCCTCTGTGCGTGTTTCCATCTGGGAAATGGGAAACCGGTGGTACCTCCTACGGCGGGTGTGTGTGTGTGTGTGTGTGTGTCAGAGAGAGAGAGAAAGGGGTGTGGCCGTCCACACCGCTACCTCCGCGACCCTCGTTGTCACGGTGTCAGGCGCACGGGAGACTCCAGCGCAGTGAATTCCGTCGTCCCTCCGCAGCATCACTGCCTGGCGCTGAGAGTCTTCTGCCTGCCAGGTGAGGGGTGAGGAGATGGCACAGAACACGCCAGGCTTCTCCCCGCTTCGAGAAGGCTTATTCTAGGTCAGAGATTCTCAAACTTGTCTAAGAAGTCCTTTACTTTTTCTTTTTTTATTCCTGGGGATCGAACCCAAGGCTGTCAAACTGAGCTACATCCCCAGCCCCTTTTTAATGTTTTGAGACAGGACCTCGCTAAATTGCTAGGGCTGGGCTTGAACCTAGGATTCTCCCCTCCCAGCCTCCCAGAGTGGGAGGCACCATGCCTGGCCCTTTACAGTCTTCAAAATTCAGGATATACCAAAACTGAGATTCTTTAATATTTATTAATCACTTAAAATAACAAAGTCGCCGGGCGTGTTGGCGCACTCCTGTAATCCCAGCACTCAGGAGACTGAGGCAGGAGGATCGTTGCGTGTTCGAGACCAGCCAGAGCTAGAAAGAGAGCTCAAGACCAGGCTGAACTGCAGAGCAAGACCTTGCTCAAAAAGACAAAAAATTAATTAATTCATTAACAGAGTCATTGCTTAGTACACAAACAACATTTTATGAAAAAAATTGTATTTTTCAAAACAAAAATACATTATTTTGCATTTCTGTAAATGTCTTCAATATCTGACTTCATGGAAGACAACTGGATTCACAAGCTGCTCTCGATCTATGCGATACCTTACTTTGGTTTAAGTATAAAGGAAAGAAAAAAAAAAAGGTAGCTGCCGTTTCCTCTTTGGTAAAAAGTGAGGCTAACAACAAGGCCACGCCCACGGCCGACGAGCGACACCCCTCAGAAAGTTGACCAACCATACAGAACTAGCTGCGGACACTTCCGCTAGGAGGCGTGGCCTTGACCCTCAAGGGGTTAGTTGGATTAGGATTGGACAATAAATGTGCTCTTCTGCGCTTTGGACCCGCCTCCAATTCCCGCCCCCTCCTCCCACGCATACGTTGGAAGGAAGGAGGCGGCCCCGCCCACTCCGGAACCTTGTGCTGCGGGTCGGGTTTCCGCCCAGACTAGGAGCACAAAGGCGGAAGTAGCGTACGGCGCGTGGGCGGTGCCAGGCGCAGTCATGTCGGCGGCCTTGCTGCGTCGAGGTCTGGAGCTCCTGGCGGCGTCGGAGGGTGAGGAGCGCTTGCCGGGGCACATATGCGGGGACGGGAGGATGGCGGGCACTTGGGAAGGGGCCAGGGTTGGAGAATGATCCGGGCCAGACTCAGCCCCCGCGGAATGGGAACCTGCGCGCTCTCCGACCCGTATGTGTGCGTTTCCCTGCAGCCTCCCGGGCCGCCCCGGGCCAGGTCCGGCCAAGCGGGGCTCCGGGGAAGCGGGCCCGGAAGCCGAAGGCGGCCCAGGCCCAGAAACTGCGGAACTCGGCTAAAGGAAAGGTGCCCAAGTCGGCGCTGGGTGAGTGCGGGAAGAGGCTGGAAGTGCGGCCCTGGGTTGGGGGGCGGCCGCTCGGGGCATTGCTGGACACCGGCTGTGCCTGCGGCGGGGCGGGGGCGGGGCCGGGACCCCCGGGTCGCATCGAAGAGGCTCCAAACCGGCGTCTGATTGCCAAGTGTGCTCGAAAGTACGGTGCTCGGAGAGAGATCGGAGTAAAAGGCCAGGTCAGTCTCCTCTGAGGAAACAGCATTGAGGCCGACAGCGGGGGAGGTGTCGGAGTGTTCTAGGAAGAACAGCGGGTGCAGAGCCAGGGGTCGGAAAGAGCGTGTTGCCTTTGAGCAAGTGAAAGGGAGCGGGCCGGCGAAGGTGACGGCGGTGAACGGGTCGGGATGGAACGTTTAACATTAACTGTGTGTCACCTGGACGATGTCCTGAGCCCTCTAAAAGTGAACCTTGTGAGGCCTTCGCGCTGTCGTCCCCGCTCTGCAGAAGGGGGCGCTTGCTGCGGTGGTGCAGGTAGAACCAGGCAGTGTCTCCACAGTGCTGCTCTTCCCCGCTGCGATCGAGTGCGAGGTTGTGCGGCCCGGGCGGTGGTGATAGGTGCAGAGATGAGAGGACGGTGCGGGTGAAAGGTGAGCAGAGGAGGGAGCATGGCTGGGCTTAGTGATGAATGGGCTGCGAAGAGGGAGCCCGGTTTCTAGTTTGTTTGTTTGTTTTTGAGACAGGGTCAGGCTGGCCTTGAACTCACTGTGTAGCCCAGGCTGGCCTTGGACTCGCCGCGATCCTCCTGTCCCTCCGGAGTGCTGGGATCACAGGTGTGCATCGCCACACCCTGCTGTCGTAGAGCTTCATGGGAGTGTGGTCCCACGAGGAAGATGAAGACTAGGGATGGGACCGGCGAGGCGTGCCTGCCTTGATCCCAGGCAGGAGCATGGAAAGTTTGAGGCCAGCCTGGGCTACACAGCACATTGAAGGCTAGGCTGGGGTACGTTGTAAGGCTGCGTGGGCAGGATGCCTTTGGATCTGCGGGACCTGCTGCATATTCACCTATTTGTTAAAAGGGTTACGAACTCCAGAGAGCAGCCACAGCGTGAGGAAAGGTGCGGAGACAGGAGAGAGGTTTGACCCAGTGACTCGTGTGTGCAGCTGGAGCTGGGAGAGGCCCCTCCCGGCCACCCACCCCTGCCCTGTCTCACTGTCCTGTTGCAGGGGCTCCCTTTGCTGCCTCCCCCGCTGAACTGAGAGCTCCGCCAGGCATAGACTTCCCTTTGGTTTGTCTGTGGTGCTCGTGCCCAGCCCAGGGCTTGGCCCATAATCCGTGGGTAAAAGGAACGGTGAGAGCCTCAGCAGCCAGTCTGCACAGTATCTCTGGCTGTCACCTCGGTCTGAGCTACCTCATCTCCAGCCTGGAGCTTTGCCAAAGCCTCTAGCTGGTCTCCTGCCCTCCACACACCCTTCCCCAGTCTTTTTATTCTCACCGGCCACCAAAGTGGTAAGTCACACCTTGGTTCTCCTTTGCCTGCGCCTTCCTGTGGCTCCCGTTGTCCTCAGGAAAAGCCAGAACTGTCACGACCTGCCCCTGCCTTCCCCAGCCACTGTTGCTCTTCAGGACATCAGGCATGCTTCCACGCCCTGTCTTCACGCAGATTGCTCTCTGCCTAGACAGCTGTCCTTCAGGAATGCTCAAGTGTCATTTTAATGAGACCTTCCCGGATCTTCCCATTTAAAATTCCAACCCTCTGCCACGGGCATTCTTGTTTCCTATTGTTTTCTTCATAAAATGGTTTGCCTGGAGAATGCTGTTTCCCTTCTTTCCCCTCTCTTCCCGCACTGCCACGTAAGCTCCACGAGGGCAGGAGCCTGCCTGTCCGGTTTCCTGCTGTAGGCCCGGCGCCCAGGACAGAGCGTGACACTTAGCTGTGCGCAGGGTGGGTGTGCCCAGTGAGTCCCATGACCACTGGGCACCGTGGGCGCTTTCTGCAGGACCTGTGTGGAGAATGGATTTGACCAAGAGGAGTCTAGCTTGTAACAGCCTCGGGAGGGAACGATGGGCCTCCTGCAGGGCCAGGGCTGGGGACCTGGAAGGCTTCCAGGGGATGAATCAGAAATGACACAAACCCCGTCACCCACAGCCGAGTACCAGAAGCGAGAGTGTCGAGACCACCTCAGAGCAAACCTGAAGTTTATGACTGGCACAAAGAGCACCCTGGCGGAGTCGGTGTCCAAGCAGGTCTGCTGGGTCTGGGCTCCAGGAGGCCTGGGGGTGTCGGCCCTGAGTTAGGGTGGAAATTGGGCCAACCTTTGAGAGTTCACGTGGGGGCCTGGGGGACACTGGCCCAGTCCTTCCCTGGCCCACACATCGCCGTCTGAGCTTCTGTCGGTGGAAATGATGTGCCCTCACTTCTTCCCAGATTCTGCGGCAGAACCGGGGCCGCAAGGCCTGTGACCGGCCCGTGGCCAAGACTAAGAAGAAGAAGAAGGCCGAGGGCACCGTGTTCACAGAGGAAGACTTCCAGAAGTTCCAGCAGGAATACTTCGGCAGCTAGGCTCCCTGGAGGGCCTGTGGGAGCAGGAGGTGCGCAGGACTCGAGCTAGCCCGTGCAGTGCAGAGCGCGGCCTGCAGATGGCGACACAGGGCCGGCTCAAGGAAGGCCTGGCGCTGGAATTCCGGGAGTCTGGAATGGAGCTGGGACCCCGGGGGCAGATTTACAGTCGGACTGGAGCTGACATGTTCCGCAGGCTTAGGAGGAGCCATCTGCCCTGCCAGAAAGGAACATTTCTGACTATTCTAGCTGCTTTGCCCCGTGTGGCCTCTGCCTGTTTCTGTGGTCCAAGGCCAGGTCCTGGGTCCTCAGCACACTGTCAGATGCAGGAAGAAGGCTGCTGCCTAGACTCCTGCTTTCTAATAAATGTGGGCGCTGCTGACCTGATTTGTGGGGCATCCCCATCTCTGGTGCTGAAGGAAAAAGTCCCTAGGCCAGGCCGCCCCAGGCAGCCATCTGGGGAGCTGTAGTCTGGGGGTGCCATCCCTGGGTGTGGCTGTTACAGCCCAGGGGGCCCTTGAGGCAAAAACTGCTTGCAGCCGCTTGTGTTTATTCTGGGAAGTGGACTTGGGGGTCCGGGGAGCCTGTGTGTGCTGTGGGCAGAGCAGAGAGGCACAGCCATGCGTTCATGCTCAGTGCGAGCCAGCTGGGCCCTCAGGCGGGCTGGCTCATAGGTTGGGGTCTCAGGAAGATCCGTGCAGTAGTGGGGTTCACACCCAGGTCTGTGCCTGAGCACAGGTGCCTGCACCGCCACATAAGGGCAGAGTTGGAGTTGGGTCCTGTCTCCGGGGGGAGGGGGACAGCAGAAAGATGAGTGCTGTCCCTGTAATAACAGGGACCTCGAAGGAGCTGTTCAGATGGAGGGGCGCATCTGATCGGCACTCCATCCTGCTGGCTTTGTGACCACTGTCGGGGACGCTGGCTGTCCTTGGAGAGTCCTTCCTCCAGCATAAGCAGCTTAGCAAGAAGCTGGCTTAACACTCACTCCTGGAATTTGCGTCACAGGAGAAAAGGCTGACTGGGCTCCAGTGCCCCTTTCTAACAAGGACACCTGCGGTCATGCAGTCACCCTCCCCTGCTTGCAAGTTTCCAGTCAGTCCGGTTGCACATTATGCCAGTACTGCTGCTGCAGGCTGCACCTCGCCCCTGCTCCCCACAGCTTAGCATGCACGAGAGCCTGCTCCCCTAGCCGAGGTTGGCCGCTGGGATCTGTCCGTACTGTGACAGTTACCCTGGACAGTTGTGCTGCAGGGGCAGCAGGGGCTCAGGAGGCAGCACCAGCACCAGAGCAAAGGACATGTCCCCCAGGACCTGCTGGTCAGCAGGGCCCAAGGGATACTAGTATCACATTCAAGCCCAGAAACCTTCCCCATCTAAGGCAGCAAGGGTGGACATGAGGGCCAGGAGACCTGTACCTCTGGTAGTTTGCGGCAGCTGACAGCTTTGAGCCCAGGCGAGTTTGGGAACCTGCGTAGTGACAGAGGAGGAAACAGGCTGCTGAGGGATGAGCTGCCCATCACACTGCCCGGACCTCTGCCTGCATGGGTGGCTCAGGGTGGGCTGGAGTGTGACAGCACTGCCATGGGCTCTTACAGGGCCAGCCGCAGGCTGCACCCAGGACACCAGCCTGGCCCAGAGCATATCTGGCCAAGGGACTTAGCTCAAGCTCCTGCAGAAGCTGGCCAGGTCCCCATCAGGTGACTTCATCCAGACCAAAGCCTCTCGGGCAGGCAGATGGGGCTGTAGCACTCAGGGATGCCATTTCATCCTGCCCAGCCTTCTTGGGGTGCTCTTCCCCCTCTCTTCATCCACACCTCTCCCAACCCCTCAAAGCCAGGAGACCTGTGCCCTCCACAGCTGCTGCTGCTGCTGACTTGATCTGGCTATCTACCTGCTGCCCACCCAGGCCATGAGCCCCGCCACCCTCTCCACCTGGATGCCCAGGAGGAGTCTCAAACTTCCCCCACCCACACTGAGCACTCTGCCCACATAAACATGAAAAACTTGCTCCTAGCTCGGCATGGCAGCATATGCTTTTAACCCCAGCACGCTGGGTGGCAGGGGCAGGACAATCACAACTTTAAGCCCAGCCTAGGCTATCTCAAAAAGATGGGATGTAGCTCAGTGTGAAGACCCTGGGTTTGATCCCCAGTGCTGCGGGTCCCCTGGTTTACCCCATCCTGCCGTTCTGTAAGGTATCATCTCCATGGACACCCCTGCTGCCTCTCATCTAACACGGCCCCTGCCAAGCCACTCCCACCTGTGGAAGGCAAATCACCCTACTATGCCCTTTCCACTGCCTCTGTCATGTTTCCTTTAGAACACTCCAGGATGGGAAACCCCAACACCGTGTCTCAAGCACAGTGGATACATGGTGTTTAAAACCGGGGCATTCCCTGCTGTCCAGTGTCCCGCAAACAGAAGAGGTGAGAAATGCTCAGAACTGACAGCCCCAGCCACAGCAGGCCCAAGAGGGATGGGGTGGAGCTAAGACGCAGGCCACCCTGAGTACCCTGAGGGGCTAGGGGCGGTGAGAACCCCATCTGGCCCAGGCTGGCTGTGGCCCAGACACTGCATGCAGAGTGGTTGGCCCTCACTGACCACCCTCTGTAACCTCCCCAGGCCAGGACTGCCTGGAATGCACCTGAAGCTAGGCCTCAGGACTGAGGTCAGACAGCTGTGGAAGAGGACAAGGATTGCATAGGAACCAGTATAGGAACCAGGCACACAACCTCCTGAGGCAGAGAGAAGCATAACTCAGGATCTCGTTTTAGAACCTCCTTAGCTACAGCCTAACACATACGCGGAACCCGACTGAGACATGAAGGCCCACAAACCAGTGAAGTGTTCTAGAATCTCAGACCCTGGATGCCACAACTGCAAAATTGAACTCAGGATCACCAGAGGCCAGACATGGTTACACACACCTGTAATCCCAGCACTTGGGAGGCTGTGAGGCAGGAGGATTGCTTTGAGTTCAAGGCCAGCGTAAACTGCATAGTGAGACCCTGTCTCAAGACAAAAAAAAAAAAAAAAAAATCCCCAGGTCTAAGGTGCAACTATGACCCCATGCCCTGCAGGTAAAGGACCAGCTGTGTTCATCCCCTCAAACCATTGGCTTTAAAAAGGGTCAGTGGGTGCTTCGGGCAGGTCTAGAAATTCAAGCCCTGCCCTGCTGACACTCAGGGAACTTTTAGGGCGAGCAGAGACGTGTGCATGCAGGTACATGCCCCTAACCAGCAAAGGACACTAAGGGATTTAAGCTGCCTGGATTCAGCCTCACGTTCAAGGCAGAAGAAACTGTCTACCTAGTCTTACAAATAAGGTAAATTCACCCAGTCCTTCAAGCCCAACTGCAGGGAAGCAGGACTTTTAGAGCAACCCCTTCGAGCCCCACCCCAACTTCCTGTTCTGATCCTGTAAGGTAAGCAACCCTCCTACGAAGCCTGTCATCTTGCTCGTCTCACAAGGCTATCTTCCTTGAAGGACGTTACTGATTTGCATCTTCACTTGACCCACCCGTTTCTGAACACTGACTAAAGGTACACTAGAACCTTTCCTTCGTTGTAAGGCCCAGCATTTTAGACAGGAGTTTGGCTGGGTTTATGTACAGCTAAAATCCTGGAGACAAACTAGGCAGGGTGGGGTGATGCACACCTGCAATTCTAGCACTCAGGAGACTGAGGTTTAGAGTAATGTGAGTTCACGGCCAGCCTAAACTGCAGTGAGACCCCGCCTCAAAAAAGGCCCTTGAAAAAAAAAGAATCCTTTCTCCCTACTGCTCTCATCTCTTGGATTGTCCAGCAGTAGCGAGGCAGTTATGACTGAAATTTGTCCTGACAGCTCACAGGGACACCAGCTGCCACCTGGCCAAAGAGCCCCAGTATCAGCTCCAGGGTTCTTTCCCCATGCTTGGGAAGAGGAAAATCCACCCTCAGCTCCAAAAGGAGTTTCCTGAATGGGTATTCTGGTAAGTTCCTACACAGCACCTAATCAGCTTGTGCTCAAGGACATGCGACCTTATCTGAGTACTTAGCGGACAAGTCTGCTTTCAGCCACAACAGGTGGAACCCAGGATATCCTGCCCCTCCAGCTAGCTCGGTCCTGTGTGCAGCAGAGATCAGGAGCACCTGGCCCAAAAGCTGTACCTTAGGAGTCCAATAAAAACCACCAGCTCAGACCCTTTTGTCCAGGTACCTTTCCGTTACACATAGCAGGACACTTCAGTTTGGAAATAGAGGGGGCTAGGAGCACTTACCAAAAAACACATCGAGCCTGCATTGGCACTTTCACTACAAAATAATTTATTACAACACAGCTTCAGCGCAAGACACCTATGTACGAGCACATAGCATTCCTGACTACCCTAAGGGACCCTCTTCTTCCCCCTGGCTTTGCGGACCTCTTCTATCAGATCTTTCAGATATTGAATCTCCTTGGCCAGAGAATCTGCTTTCTCTTTCAGGGCCTCATTTTTCTTTTCCAGTTCTTTACATTCGCCAGTGAGGGCCTCTTGCTCTGCTCGCTTCTTCTGGCGGTACCTGGTGGCTGCTGTCTTGTTTTGTTCCATTTTTTTCAGTTTCTTATCCAGCTTTTCACCCTTAACTTTGGCCGCTACCATCTTCTCTCCGGGGGGATCATAGGGTTTGGGACGGGCGTAGGGGACACCTGGAGATGGCAAGCTCCTATTTGGAGAGCCCCTGGAGGTAGAGGGGCTGTGCTGGGGAGAACCAGGGTAGGACTCAGGGCTCATACAGACGCCACTGTCATTATCTGAGGGGGCATCCTCCTCCTTTAAACACTGAGGAACCAAGGTAATGTAAGCAATAGAGTCAGATTTCCTATCTCCTTCAGAGATATCCACCTCACTGCCTAACTCTAAGCTGAAGGAATGATCTGGAGTGGAGGACAGAACCCCCGGGGAAAGGGGGAAAGGTTGCAAGAAGGTGAAAGGGGCAACCTGGTCAGTTTGTGTTAAACTTTCTGGAAGATGGCCAATGGGGTTCACTGCCTGGGGGGGCTCCTCATTAGTCTCCTGGACTACTGGGGCAAAGAGATCACATGTGTCATCCAACGTGGCCAAAAGCTCATCTGGCATGGTTTCCAGGTCATCTACGTTCAACAGGGCATCAAAATCGAACTCCTTCAGATCCATTTTCTCCAACATCCAATCTGTCCCAGAGAAGGCATCCTCTGCAAAAAGACAAGAGTGGGGTCACACAAGGCAGACCCCACCCTGAGTGTGGGGACCAACACAGGCAAAGATGAAGGTGACTCACTCACCCTTGCCGGTGTCCGAGGCACTGACCAACTCATCCACAGCCAGCCAATCGGAGGAGCCCGCCTTAGCCTTGTCGCTGGAGAACCCATGAGGTTTGAAGTGCTTGGCCACCTCCAGGTAGTCATCTAAGAGACCTAAGCTTTCTTCAGCCCCCAAACCCGACTGGTCGAAGGGGGACATCAAGTCCCCCCCCAACACCTCGCTGCTCAGGAAGCTCATCTCGGCCATGCTGGGGGGCTTTGCTGGAATCGAGGAATGTGCTTAATTCGAAGATGTCTTTGTCGGTTACAGCAACGCTGCTGCTGGATGCCGTGAAAAGCCTAAAGGTAAACAAAGGCAAATGCCACTCAGGGGTGAACTGGTGAAATAATTCCACCTCAGCCGGGCATGGTGGCGCATCCCTGTAATCCCAGCGCTTGGGAGGCTGAGGCAGGAAGATCGTTTCGAGTTCGAGACCAGCCTGGGCTACATAGTAAGCTCAAGAACAGCATGAATCGCACAGCGAGACCCTGTCTCAAAAAAACAAACAAAAAAAGGAAAAAAAGCCACAAAACACGAAGCCAGTAATTCCATCTTTTTACCCCGAGGGGAGATCTTGTGGCCTCCGGCCATTGTGCCGCCCCTCCCTGCCGCGGCTCGGGGTGCACAAAATGGACGCCCACGGAAACTCGGCCATTCCTTCACCGGCCACCCAGAGGACGGCGCTCGTCCTGCTACCAAATAGGGCCAAAGCCGCCGCGCCCCGCCCCGCGTGACTCACGCCGCCCGCCCCGTCGCCATTTTGGCTACTGCCACGTTCGCGGAGACGCCCCGGGGCCCCACGGGTTCGGGGGCGACGCAGCTCCGGGAGGAGCCCCCAAACCGCGCCACGCGTCCTCCACCCCAGCCCGGTGAGCGCCGCGCCTGGGGGACGCCCGCACGGGGCCGCGCGTCCCGCGCGCTCGTAAAAGCGCTTCCCCTCGCGACGCGCCCACGCCACAGGCCGCACCCAACCCGCCGAAGCCCCGGCGACGCGGGGGCACAGCCCAGGAAGGCCGATACTCACGCCATGGCTTAAGCCGCTGGGGGGTGCCGCTGCAGAGCCTGATGCTACTGCCGCCGCTGCAAGAGCCAATGCTGCCGCAGGCACTACTGCCTCTAATACGCCATGGTGGCCGCGCACCCTGCGCGAGGGGAGGAGAAAGGCAGGGTTGCGAAGAAGGACTACATCTAGAGCCGGCAAGAACAGAAATGGCCGCGTGGCGCCGCCCGCCTGCCTTTATAGACTCCGTCCGGGGACGCAGCACAAGGCGCATCCTTCCGCGGAGGCCACGTGACCTTGCGGTGGGCCCACTCGCTTGCGCCCATCTGACGCCTCCACCGGCTCCAACGCTCGGTCTTTCTATTCGGGGTGTAGCTTCAAAGGTAGAGAAGTTTATTTTCAACGTCTCACGAAAAGAAAAAGGCGCACTATTTTACAGGACGCCTACGAAGAAAGAATCACGTTCACACTGTTCCGCCGCAAAGCGCGGAGGGATCTGTGAGACACGCCTTGGTTCCGGTGTTAGTTCCGTGCGCGGGGAGAGAAAGTCTTTCATCTCAAGCGTATTGGGAAGGCCAAGGCCGCATGGTTACCGCGCGACGGGCTGGAGGGGAAGGCGCGTCGAGCTGATTGGCTCAAGCATGGTGAGTCATATATTCTTCGGGTTCCTATTGGCTCACGGCCTGAGGTGGGCGGGCTGCTGCACAGGTGCGCGCGGTAAGGTACGGAGCCGCCCGTACTGTTAGCGCCATATGGCTGTAGCGTTTATCCGCTTCCTTCTCAGGCGACTTCTCAGTAACGCACTCAACCAGGGCCCCTCCCTGGGGGCCACTCCCCTAACCGTGGCTTCAGGTCCTGGCCCCTGCGGGTCCCTTCCTGCCTTCCTTAGAGAAGCTCGGAACAAGCGACCAAACTCCTAGCCTTAGTCCCACTTCCCCTGCCAGGAAGTTACCTGGTCCAAGCCTTGGTTTTCCAGAGCGAGCCCACAGTGGGCGCTGGCTTGAGCCCTCAGACAGGCTTGGGGACCACAGTTGGGAGGGTGCTCATGTTACATCACCAGATCCCTCCCCACCTATTCTCAAAAGCCTTCCTCAAAACCCCGTAAAATCTAGTGTAGATTGGGAAAAAGATCCACCATCTTAGAGCAAAAGTAATTTCCACACTGCTTGTTCTGCTAAAATACGAGCGTGCTGTTCTGTTAAAACTATGCAGCCTATTACTGTACTTCTTTCTTTTGGTATATATGTGTTCTGATATTTAACTGGCATTTCTCCAAGCTAGTTTGAATTAACTCCCAATTCTGTATCCCAGCAAGTCATCCTAATAGCCCTATGAGAAATTTGAGAACCGTCTCCCATTTGCTGGATGTGGCATCTGTGGTAATAGCACCCCACAATGGAGCCGCTATAGAAGTCCTGAGAATCCTCCTTCGCGCTCAGACTCGCCAGTTGGCCCTCTAAAGGTAGAAAATTTGAGTTCCATCTTTTTTTTTTTGTACCGGGAATTGAACTCAGGACCTTACGCTTGCCAGGCAGGTGCTTATGCCACTGAGCTATATCCCCGGCCCCTTTTTTTGTTTTTTTAAGGCAGGGTCTCGCTATGCAGTTCAGGCTGGCCTTGAGCTCACTTTGTAGCTCAGGCTGGTCTCGAACTCGCGATGATCCCCCTGCCTCAGCCTCCCAAGTGCTGGGATTATAGGCGTGTGCCACCACAGCCGGCTCCATCTCTATTTAAATAGGTCATACGATGCAAACCTGTAATCCCAGCACTTGGGAGGCTGAGGCAGAAGGATAGTTGCAAGTTCAAGGCCAGCCCGACCTGCATTGCGAGACCTTGTCTCAAAAAAAAAAAAAATTAAAAATAGGTCATACAAACACTATTTTTTTTTTTTTTTTTGGTCTTTTTGAGACAGCGTCTCACTATACAGTACAGGCTGACCTTGAGCTCACTTTTTAGCCCAGGCTAACCTTGAAATAGCAATGATCTTCCTGCCTCAGCCTCCCAAGTGCTGAGATTACAGGCATGCACCACCACGCCTGGCATGAACACCATTTCTATGAGGGCTGTCTCTGTCATTTATTAAACATTTACCTATTGTCTTCTCTTAAGCGTATTTCCTCATCTGCAAAAAGCTAATGAGTATTCTTGTCCTAGGAATGCAGTGAGATCATACAGGTAAAGCCCTTAGCATAGTGCCTGGTAAGTGCTCAATAAATGGTTGTTGTTACTACTATAACTTAGGTCTTCTGAACTTGACCTCCCAATCCCCTTTCCTTTATCCCCATGACATCATCCTGCATCCCCAGAGGACTCTATTATTTACTGACAGGGAACCAATAGCTATAAACAACTGGTATGCACACGTCACACTGGATGCTAGAATAAAAATGTCTTTCCTTCCCCTCAGGGAGACTCATGAATGTTGAGATACTCCTGAGCTGGACATGATGGCGCACACCTGTAATCCCAGGACTGGGAAGGCTAAGGCCGAAGGATCCTGAGTTTGAGCCTGGACTACAGGAGCAAGACCCTGTCTCAAAGAGTTTAGCCGGGGATATAGCTCAGTGGCACAGCACTGGCCTGGCAAGCACAAGGTCCTGAGTTCAATTCCCCGCACCAAAAAGAAAAAAAAAAAACTGCAAAGTTTAGACTTTCAGTGCAAAGGTAGCAAAATTCCTGATCCATTATCTGAATCTTTCAAAGGAGTAAGGAAGAGGGCAGGGAGGGGGATTCTTCCTTCTGCTCTAAAGACTCACCAAAGGCTCCTGACAGCCAGCCAAGCACATTGCTGAATTAAAGTAACACTGCCCCAGTTTTGACACTGCAGAGATCGCGGGATGTCTGGTGGCGACAGTTCTACCCGTTCTAGGAGACCCACAACACTTTAAAGCTTCCCTTAGCTGAAAATGAAGACCCAGCACTCCTTTAGGAAATTGTTTCATACCACACACAGTCAGTTGTTGGAAAGTTTATTTTCTTCTTCCCAGGCTGTGGAAGGACACTGTTCCCCAGTTTCATTTCCTCCCTCAAGGAGAAAAAAGACAGATCTCTGGGTCTCAGGGCTAAGCTGTTCCCACTGGTCCTAGCTAAGACAAGACAGGGACTGGTGACTGACCACCATGGAAGGGCAGATGAGTGGAAGGCAAGTTGTGGACTTGGCCTCAGAGACCAAGAGTTCAACCTACAAGGTGATCAAAATAAAAAAGTGAACGGAAACCCAGGATGTAGCTGACCACACAGCCCAAATCTCTGGATTCTGGCCACTCACGGTTGTGTCTAAAGGGCACAGCCTCCCAGCCTGGCACAGGAATCGTGAGCTCTAGTTCCAAGTGTCTCTGACCATTTTCCTTGGCTTTGACTTTCAAGTGAAAGAGCAAATCCTCCAAGAGCAGTTCTCGGCCAAGTCCGTCCCAAAGAATGCATGCATAGAAGAGAGCTCTGGACACACACAGGGATCCCTACCTGCAGACCCCTCGCCCCCAGGCCCCAGGGTCTCTCAGGGGCCTCCCTCCTGACGCTGACCCCTCTGGCGACCCACCTGAGCTCCCAAGTGGATTGCAGAAAGACTAAATAGCTCACTCTAGGTGTGAACCAGTCGGGGGCCAGGGACTAAGACCCAGGAGGCAGTAAGTGTCCTCAACAGAGCTCTTCCAAACATGAACTTCAAGGTTTCTTTCTTTTTAAAAAGTAACACTGAGGGGCTGGGGATTTAGCTCAGCAGCACAGCGCCTGCCTGGCAAGCGCAATGTCATGAGTTCGATTCCCGGTACTAGGAAAAAAAAAAACAAAAAAATAAAAATAAAAAGAATAAAAAGTAACACTGAGCATATGAAGAAAAATCCTGCTGTCCTGAACTAGTTTTTTAGGAATGGACAACAGGGAAGACCCAAACTAAACTTGGAATTTATGAAGTGTTCAAGATAATGATGGCGTGTTTTTATGCATCAGGCTATGTGTGTGGTTTGCTAATCTAGAAGGTACCAAAAAGATCTCCAGATGAAGAAGTAGCACTTGCTATTCCTTCAGGCAAAAGTGGGAGCTACTGAAAAGAAAGTGGTAGGGCAGCCACGGCCTCTCTCTCCTGCTTTTTAGAAGGGTGTGTGTGGCAGATGTTGCCGTCTTTCACTCCAGCCTCAGAGCACTGCCTGTCTTCCACATTTTATGTGGAAAATTGTAAACCCACCAGTACCAGGGCTGAGTCCCCACTGGTGCTAGCGCTGAGGCCTCATGAGAGAGGGTCTTGCTTGTAAGATGACAAAAGTTACCATTTTGGTTTTGTGAAGTATAGTTAAAAGTCAGAGCTGCCCCTAAAAACAAAATAAACTTTTTTCCCTTCCCAAATTCAATTATGCTTGACTTTGGTAATTTGGGACTCTTTAAAATCTTGAGATTCTGCAAAGCTTTTCTAAGGTCTTCCCAAAGTTTTACATAGAATTTGGTCAGAAACATCAGGTTTAGGGGCTGGGGATTTAGCTCAGCGGCACAGCGCCTGCCTGGCAAGTGGGAGGTCGTGAGTTTGATTCCCGGTACCAGGGGGAAAAAAAAAAAGTAGAGCTTTAAAGAAATGTCAGCTTGGGAAATTTTTGTGTTTCATAGTACTGCGGCAGGGAAACCAAATCCTTTACCAACAATCTGCTTCTTACCTGTGATACCCGCACCCACCCCCAGGACACCAGAGGAGGAACTGGAGCCCTCCTCAGGCCTTACCCCTCCCCTTCCATACCAACAGCCAGGGAGCACCGAGGCTCCCAACTGTTCTCACCTCCTGTTTCATTCTAAGGGTGGAGCACCTCTCAGGGTTCTTGGCTTTATCTTTTGTTTTTGCTCCATACCTTGTGTCCTGAACTAATTTTTATGTCCTGAACACTCTTCTATGACATACCTTGTGTCATTCTAATCATTCATACCTTACCCAAATAAAACAATGAACCTTGCAGACTACCAGAGCGGCAGACAGACTCTTAAGTACAGCAGAGGTTATTCTCAACCTCATCCATGAAGAAAAGGGGGCAGGCATCTGTTTCTGCCCTCAACTGGGTATCAGAGCTATTTTAAGTCCTTTCATGTCACTGTCATTGGGAAGGAATGAGACAGCTGCAGAGAACACAGAAATCTCACTGATGGAGAGGTAGTAAGAACAGATAAAATCCGACTCGGTAAGAACAAAATACTGGATGGGCAGATCAGAAATAAAACTGTCAACCTTTGTGCCACGAACAAAAAACATGAAACAGACACATGGACGTGATGTATTAAACACTCCTTCACACCCTCAGGATACATTTACATTGCCATAAATAGTGCAGTTTTTAGCAGCAGGAACCAAGGAGGAATGTGGGGAGTACCCACCTCCTCCTCCTGTGATTTATCTGTGCTCTCTTTCTGGGTAGCACCAATCTCCCCAGGTGCCAGGTGAGAGACCGGACGGGGGGAAAAGAGGCCTGTGCACGTTCACCTGCCCTTTGGCCTCCGTGGGTACCAGGAGCACTCGGCAAACACCCTTCTGGTGCTTCAGGAGACACTGCCACTGGGCCTGTTCTTGCTCTAAGGCAACGTCTTAGAAAGGCAAGGTCTTTCAGAGGACAAAACATGCTCACTGGGCCCCAGGGGTGACTGGGTTTTCCAGCTGACACAGCCTGCTGCCCACCTTCAGCCTCTACTGCTAAGCCGGGGCACCTGCCAGGCCTTGTCCGACTGGCAGTAGAGGAAATGAATGAAAGGAGCACCCACAGGAGGTGGGGCCCTGGCAGCCGCCATCACATCTTTATCTAACTGGCGGCCACAGATGAGATGCAGGCCCTCCACCAGGCCCCAGGAACCAGCTCCTGGTCCCCCTGTGCACTGATGCCCACTAATAAAAACTCCAAATAACTCTGCCTCCTGTTGATCCTGTAGAGTCAGTAACAGTGTCCCCAGGAGAAACGTTCTTGGCATTTATGAATAGTTGGTTGGAGGGGCCGAGGGATGGGTCTGTTTGCTAGGAACCAGGGTCAAAGACCAGCTCATACACAGCTTCATCCCCAGAGACCCTAAACACTGTCTCTGCTCACTCTGCAGAGCTGAGCTTGCAAACCTAAGCTCTTCTGATATTTAACTCAAAGGCAACATCTCGATTAGGCAGTTATGCTCCAGGGACAAAAGCAAAACGGAAGGCATGAAAGAAGAGAGAAAAGACAGACACTGAACAGGAAGGGATAAAAGGGCAGGGCAAGGAAGACAAAGCAGGACACCTGGGACAAAATGCAAAACACCAAGTGGTCTCCATAGCTCAGGCCACCACTCTACCTTCTCAATTCATTCCAGAAAAAAACCAGCTTTGACCAAGGAGGGAGTAGGGAGCACAGTGTTTGGTAACAAAAATAGGGCTGGGGAAGAAAATAAGGGACCAAAGAGGTGTCATTCTAATCAGCATGAAGTGACCAAGACAATGACCAGAAAAGAACCAGGAGGCACCTAGGGACCCTGTGAGGCACCAACTATGTAGCCGCGTGTTTCTAACGGAGAATCCGGGGCCTGACCACCCGACGGCTGCTTTGGCCTTCACCTGCCTTAAGTCTGCAGCAGCACCTCTGGCTCAGACAAGGAGCAATAGAGAGTGTATCCCAACTCGTCGATTTCCTCAGGGGTGAGCTCTGCAAATAAGTTCACCTTGGGGTTCAGGGCACTGGGTAGGACTCCAGCCTCTAGGTAGTGGATGAGTCCCCTCAGGGACTGCAGGAAACGATCAGCCAGCATGTCTGGTGACCAGTCAGCCTCCTCCTGGGCCAAGTGGAGGATGACATTGGTTAGCTGGCTGGCAGTGAGGTGGCCCAGAGCAGGAGTGGACTTGCATATGGCCTTGAGAATCTTGAGGCACAGAGATCGGCAGCCTGAATCTGCCTGGTCCAAAGCCCGCAGGCGTGCCGTCTCTGCTGGACGCAGGCTCAGCCGCCACAGGTTGTCATACTGGGCTAGCCGGTGTGGTCTGGCCACCAAGACAGTGTCACCAAGGGTCACAGAAGGCAGGAAGTCAATGACGAGATGTTTGTCCCGCTCATACTGCACTTCTAGCGTCAGGGCCTCTGGAGGCGGTGCTGGTCGGATCACATAGTCCAAGAGAGACCCTATGGCTGGCCAATTGATGGAGCCAGCCACTACCTTCTCAAATGTGTCTGCCACTGTCTTTGGGGAGAGGTAGCCCCCTACTACACAGCGATCCCAGTAACTGCTGCCACGAGGAAAGTACTCTGGGTTCTCACGACGAACCAGGAAAAAGCCAGGGACGTTCATGATAGTGTCCTCACCAGGGATGCAAGACCACAGGTTGTGCTCCAGCACAAGGGGCACAATGAGCTGGATATGGTCAGCTGTCACTACCTGTCGGGAGAGAATTAAAAACGTTTTGAGGGGTTCACTCCGCTCAAGAGACACACACAGAACCCACCATCTTACACTCTCCCAATAAGAAAGCAAGCTAAAAATTCTTTCATGTCACTGAGGCAATCCCCACAGAGGAAACCAGACAGGAGAGATGGGGACAAGAATTCAGCAGGGCAGATGTGGTGGCACATACCTATAATCCCAGCATTTAGGAGGCTGAGGCAGAAGGATCAGAATTCAAGGTCAGCCTGGCTACAAAGTGAGTTCAGGGTCAGCCTGAACTGCATAGCAAGACCGTCTCAAAAGTTTTAAAAAGGAATGCAGGAAGGAGCAGGTTCTTTACAGCTTCTAAAAAAATGCATTACTAAACAATGAGAAAGGCTTAGAGATGACACCAGGGCAGAAGAACAAATGCTGCTGCCGGATGCAGAATGCTCAAGCAGGGGGACCCCAGTCTTTCAGGGATCCCGAGACACTGGCTCCCTAAGCTGCATTTGGTGAGTGCCTACCTCACCCCGACAAGCGTCTCATTACCTGCAGGTCATCATAGAGGCTGCCACTCAAGTACATGTCCCGAAGTGGCATGTCAGGCAGCTTGGCCCGCAGGAAGCTCCGGAGCTCGGCGCATATGTCCACGGCAGCTTGCTTGGCCCGAGCCTGCTCTCCGGCAGGGATGGCTGCCCGGTTCCGGTAGTAAGTAAGAAGTTTCTCCTGCAGGGACATGCGGAGTCGTGACTTCTTCAAGTCTACCTGGCCTTTCCTGGCCAATGGCTTGGGCCGGGGCGGGCAGAATGTATCTGCCAAGGCAAGAGAGAGAAGCACGTGAGCTCTTCCCATGCTTGCTCTGTCCACAGCTGCCTCAGCCCTAGGAAGGGGACAGGCCTGGCACAGAAAGCAATGCCTGCACAACCCGGCACATATGTGGTCAGGAAATGCTTGTACAGCGAAAGGGAGGTGCTGGATTCCAGTGTCCCAGGAGCCACCAGCCCTCCTTACCTGTGTCAAAGGCCGAGGAGTCTGTGGGGAGGGTCTGCAGGGACCGGCTCAAGCCTGTCTTCATGTCCCTGCTCAGCAGTCGTGGGGAGCCCATCCAGTTGGGTTCTTCCCAGCTCCTTTTTCCTGAGTGGCTCAGGCGAGTAGGGCTCGTAGGGGCACTGATTGCCCGATCGTACATCTGCAATGGCAGAGGGGACACAGAACATAGACCGGCTTCCCTCCTCTCCTTCCTTCCAGTTCCCTCCTCCCCAGCTTTGTCTTAGAAAGTTCAACTACTGTTTCCTTTTGCAGAAGAAACCCTGGGCCTCGTATATGCTCCCCAGCCTTAAGTTGTATTTCTCAATAATTTTATTTTATCTAGACTACTGAATACATTATCCTATGCCCAAAATCTCAGGAAATACCAAGTGATATAAATAAAAAATGTCTATCCATCATGTCCTACAAGTCATAGAAAATTTCTGATAGTATAGGTATTTGGTATATTTCTTTGTAAAAATGTGTATTTATATGATCAGGATTATATTCTCTGTGTACTTTTGAAACTGGATCTGTGCTGGGTTAGGGGAATATTAGGGACTAAACCCAGAGCCTTCACCCTTTATTATATTTTTTCGTATTTTGAGACAGGGTCTCACTAAGTTGCCCTGGATGGCTTCAAACTTGCAATCTTTCTGCCTCAGCCTCCCAAGCTGCTGGGATTACAGGCATATACCACCATGCCGGCCTTGAAAGTATTAAAGAGTTATGCTGCTTCCTTGGTATTCCCAGGGGAGGGTTTTCAGGACACCCTGAGGATACCCAAATCCTCTGCTGCTCAAGTGCCTTAATAAAGGCTCAGGAGTTAAACATATAACCTACACACATCTTCCCGTACTTTTTAAAATTTTTGACAGATTTATTAAACTTTTGATGATTTTGCTCTCTAGCAGAGCAATGTCCACAGATAATATTTACTATAAGGCCCAGAGACCTATATACTTTTTTTAATCTGTGCTAAGGATTGAACCTAAGGCCACTCTACCAGTGAGCTACATCCCCAGCCCTTTTCTATTTTTTATTTTGGGACAGTTTTACTAAGTTGCCCAGGTGGGACTCAAACTTGCAATCTTCTCGCTCAGCCTCTAAAGTGATGGGATTCCAATGTATACCAACCCACCCAGCTCCTCCTATAAACCTTAAACCATTTCTAGATTACTTATAAAACCTAATACAGAGTAAATGCTATGCAAATAGTTGCTATACTGCATTATTTAGGAAAAATGACAAGAAAAAGCCCATGCATGTTCAGTACAGATGCACCGTTTTTTGTTTGTTGGGTTTTTTTTTTTGGTACCAGGAATTGAATTCAGGACCTTGTGCTTGCCAGGCAGGCGCTGTGCCATTTCGTTTGTTTTTTTGAGACAGGGTCTCACTGCGTAGTTTAGACTGGCCTTAAACTCACTATGTAGCCTAGGCTGGCCTTGAACTCACTGTAACCCTCCTGCCTCAGCCTCCCAAGTGCTGAGATTATAGGTGTGCACCATCATGCCTGGCTGCATGTTTTGTTTTGTTTTTGTACCAGGAATCGAACTCAAGACCTTATGCTTGCCAGGCAGGCTCTTGTGCTGCTGAGCTACAACACTGACCTGGCTGCACGTTTTGAAAAGTACTTCCAATCTGTGGTTGTCTGAATCTGTGGATGTGGAATCCACAGATACAGAAAGTTTTATTCAGAGGCTACATGTGCTAGGCATTGTTCTAGGTGCTAAGAATAAAGCAGCCAACCAAAGAAGCCCAAATCCTCACCCTGGTGGAGTTTCTAGTCTACTAGGGGGACATAATATGTAATAAACAAGTTCACATAAACAGATAGAGATAAATGTTTTAAAAAAATAAAGTTGGAAAGGAAAACAGAAGTTTGTGTGTGGTTAAGTGCTTTTTTTGTTTTGGTGCTGCAATTTTAAATAAGGTAGTTGCTAGGTATGGTGGCAGACGCCTGTAATCCCTACTACTTGGGAGGCTGAGGCAGAATGTCAAGTTTGAGGATGGCTTGGGGATAGCTTGGGGAACTTAGTGAGACACTAAGATTTAAAAATAAAAAGAGGAGGGGATGTAGCTCAGTGGTAGCTCACCCCTGGGTTCAATCTGTACTAAATAAACAAACAAAGTAGTCAAGGCAGGATGTTTTGGTTACTTGAAATTTTTTGTGTTTGCATGTATCCCCAGTGCCTAGAAGCAAGCTTACTGAGTTCTCTTAGCATCTTGTCCAAGGATACCAAATCATCACTTTACATTAGCAGCACCCAAGTCTTGTTCCAGGGGAGCTCCACTCTGTAAAGGCTGCCTCACTACCTCCTGTCCCTGGAGCAGATACTTACCCGCTTAACTGCGAGCGTGGCGATGCCCAGCATGGCCGCTCCACCCACCCCCAGCACCAGCCGGGCATTGGAGAGCACAAAATCAATGGCCGTGCCAATGCCATTGTCATCTTTCTTGCCTTTGCGCTCACCAGCGCCTGCCATCGCTCACCTGAGAATGAAGACAGAGCACAGCCATCACCACCTGGGACTTCAAGAACCATCCTCTCCGCCTTCACCTGCCTCTGCCACCCGTTGGCTCTAGCACTACGTGCTCTCGGGTCTGAGGTAGCTTGTCCCAGGGGGAAGACCTGATTGTGTGCCCTGTGGGAAACCCTCTCCATGAATCTACGAAGTTTTAAGTCACTGTCAGTCCTTTTTTTGTATTACAATGAAATACCTAACCCCACAAGGCAGTGTGACCCTTTCTTGACCCCTTCACAGTGGCATAATGGCTGGTTAGGTTTTGCTCCTCTGGCCACCACTTTGTGATATGTTAGAACTGAGAAGGGCCTTGGGGCTTATCTAAACCAATCCCATCATTCCTCAGTAAGAAGGTGACTCGCCCAAAGTCCTAGAAAGAAGTGGCACACGTCTATGTCCAGAACTCAGCACTGGGGCCAGGGATGTAACTCAGTGGCATAAGCGCCTTCCAGAACTCAGCACTCCCAACTCCTTTTCCACTGCTTTTTCTGTGGTATCATGCTTATCCTAACCCCCATCAAATTGGTCCTGAGTCTGTCTTCTGCAAATAAAACACAAAATAGCAAGAAACAAACACCCTGTAGATGGGAGACGTAACTCCAAGTCTACACAGGACGATGATGTAAGAGTCCTTTGTGGACGTTCCCACTGGACAAGCGCTTCCTTCTTGGGGCAAGTGTGCAGGGAGACTACTAAGGCTCAGTCAGACAAGGCCCAGAAAAAACACAAAGGGTGCCGCAGACTCAGCTGCAGACTGGAAAACGAAGATACTCGTTGCTTAAATGCACTTGGAAAAAGCACTAAAAATGTGTTTACCTAGAAGGGATACATGGCCACACCCACAAGAGACTGCCCAGCACTCCAGGGAGGACGCCACACATGCACACGTGCCCTGGCTACAAGGAGTCGTCCTGATCAGAGTGGCCCTGAGCCTGCCCAGGTAAAGGAGGCCACGTGGGTCAGCTGACCGCTGAGCTGAGTGCTGCTCCTCTCTCCCACCTCACGTGTCCTCAGGAAATACATAGGAAAACCACAGTTGTGTGCCACTCAGGATCCCCAAATACCTTTTACAGTCCACAGAAGCTTACAGTCCTTAGGACAATAAGGAAAGATTATCTGGTCAGAGAAAATATATTTCTGCTTCAAATGTACACAGCAGCCAAGGCCAAGGAGCATATTTAAACTGAGTACTTCAAAGTGGAATTAGGCAAGAGAGCCAGCGCTCTCCCCAAAGGGCCCACAATGACAGGACAACCAGACAGCAGAGGCAGAGCAGTCAGACCAGGAGAAAGCAGAACATTATACATTTCCCTACACAGTCATGATTTTTTTTTTAAACAAATAACAAAAAAAAAAGGAAGAACTGCACAAGGCCCTGGGTTTAATCTCCAACACTGAAAATACAAAGCCACTTTTGCTGATGCATTTACAACAGGAAAAATCACTACATGTGGTGCCCTCTAAATCATCTTTGAATGAAACAGCAGGACCAGAGGAGCACCTGCTCCTCCAAGTAAAAGCCAGAAGAGGCCTCCTGGGACACTGAACCCTGGGCCTTCTGGGATGGGTGTTAACAAGGTGGTAGCCAAGCGTGATGGCACATCCTAGCACTCAGGAGGCTGAGGCAGGAGGATAAGGCAGGAGGATCACTGTTAATTCAAGGCCAGCCTGGACTACATAGTGAGATCCTGTCTCAAAAAAACAAGAAGGTGGTGTGGCTTGACAGGGGAGAGAACATGGGTTTTGGAGTGGGAAGTCCCGAGATTGAGTAGTTGTCTTGAGCCCTGGTTAATCAGCTGGGTGACCTCAAATGGGTTCCTTAACCCTTCAGCTGTGAAAAGGGGACAGGTGGCTATGGTGGCGCACGCCTGTAATCCCAGCACTTAGGAGGCTGAAGCAGAAGGATTGCTGCAAGTTCGAGGCCAGCCTGGGCTACAAAGTGAGTTCAAGACCAGCCTAAGCCACACAGCAAAAAATCTAAAAAGACAAAAAAAAAAAAGGAAAAGGGGATAATCATAGGGTTGTGGTGAGGAAACATCTGCCACAAGACTGTAAGCAAACACTTTACAAACTGCAAACATGCACCACTAGCAAGGGCTATCATTAAGTCTGCTCAGACATCCCTCCACTGGACAAAAGGTCAGCTCTCAGAAGGCAGTCGGCAACCCAGACTGTCCTCTGACCTACACTGCACATTTAGGGACAGAGCTCAGCTGGCCTCTAAAACACTATGAAGCTCTCCTGGGCTTGAGACCAAAACTGCGTTAGTAGAGCAGGCCTGTTAAAGGCTCTTCCTACCCTAATGCTACACTTTCACACCATCAAAGGACCAGGTGACATCACAGATCAAGTGACTTTGAGAGAGCATCCATAAGCTCCAACACGGTGACACCCCCTTAGTCTAAAACTTAAGTTCAGTTTGTTCAGTGGAAACTGCCTTCCTCCACATACTCTGCTCCCAGGCTCTACTGCGTTAGCCTGCAACCATCTAGGAGACAGCAACATTCCTGAGTAAGGAGGGAGGGCCTGGCTCATCAGGGCAACAAGAAGGACCACTTGCTGGTCTCAGTGGCACACACCTGTAATCCCAGCACTCAGGAGGCTGAGGCAGGAGAATCATGAGCAGTCTGGCCTGCCTACACTACACCGTCTCAAAAAAAAAAAAAGAAAAAAAACAGCTGGGTGTGGTAGCTCACGCCTATAATCCCAGCACTCTGGAAGACTGAGGCAGAAGGATCCCAAGTTTGACCCCAGCCTAGGCAACTTAACAAACAGACCCTCACTCTAAAAAGGTCTGGAAAAGCAGCTCAGCGTGAAGGCCCTGGGTTCGGTCCCTAGATTACAAAAGGGGATTTAAAAAAAAAAACCTTACAGATGGTTTAAAAGTAAAGAACAATGAGCACTCAGCTAGGGCTAGGGATAGAAAATCTGAGCTCTGACAATGCTTCTGGCAACTTTACTTAACCTATCTCCCTGGACACTAAAGTGGGAACGAAACACAGTTCACCCCAATAAACTAAGGCAAAGGCCTTGCAGCTTCCTAGCTTGACAGCACTTAACTATGAAAATTCCAACTTATTTTACTTGGAGAATTCAAAGACTTTTTCATAGGCACATCTGCCTTGAGCATGTGAGAACAACTAATACAATGAATGTGGAAGCTCAGAAAACACTATTCCAAAGTGAAGGCCTCAGAAGCAAAGGTTCTCTGACTTCCTGCCCTCCCATCTTCTATACCTTCTGTCTCCTCCAAGGCAAACCATTAAAAACTAGAATTAGCCAAGTGTGGTGGTGACACACAACTGTAATCCCAGCACTCAGGAGGCTGATGCAGGAAGATCACTGGGAGTTTGAGGTCAACCTGGGTTATATAGTCAGCTCAAGGCCAGCCAGAACTACAAAGTGAAACCCTGTCTCCAAAAAACAAAAACAAGAATTCATCTTCCCCATGGCAAGTCACAGGAACTGAATCCTCTTTCCCCAAAGTCAGGCAGAAAGCCTAAAAATATTGTTAGCTTCTCCCCATCTTTCTGCATAATGTTCTCTGACCCCCCTTGCTGCTGTAGCTCCTAGGACACCCACAGAAAGCACCCTGCCCCACATGTGCCAGGAAAAAGCGTGACAACTGAGCTGCCAATGAGAACATGAACAGGCTCTGCCGGACTTCTCCTCAGTCTATTACTATTAGATCACACTCTGTTTAACTGTATTTCTACATGACTGTTCGCAATTCCTTGACCTGAAGAATAAAACAAGTAATCTACCCTGGGTTGGTGGATCTTCATTTCTGAGGGCTTCCAGGCACTTACATTTTTGGTTAAAAAAAAAATCTGCCACGTACTTCTCTGTTAATCTGTCTTGTCAGAGAAGTGTAAGCCATGTCCCTTCATGATGGGCCAGAAAAGAGCCCTTTGTGCTGGACACCTGACATATTCTCTAACCTTCACCATGACAATCCCATGAGGTCAGTAACATTGTGATCTCCAATTTAAAGGTGAGAAAGATGTTAAATGACCAGCCCAGTAACTTAGCATGTCCATAAATTGTGCACCCAGGATCTGAACCTAAGGCTTATGCTGCTGGGAAGAACTAATCTAGAGGAGTCCCAAACAGCCTACAACCTCACCTCACCTGCTTTTCTCTCTAGTAACTACTGGACCACAAGCTTCTAGAATTCCTCTTCTCCACTGAATGCATTTAGTTCACTGCTACATCTCCAGGGATCAATGTTTGATACAGGAAACATCTGTTGCATGAATGAAAGATTAACCCTATAGCATCTGACTTTTTTTTTAGTGGATGGTGATGGCAAGATATAGCAATTCCAAGAAAAAAAAACAGACATGGTGGTGCACTCTGTAATCCCAGCACTCGGGAGGCTGAGGCAGGAGGATTGCTGCAAGTTCAAGGCCAGTCTGGGCTACAAAGTGAGCTCAATGCCAGCCTGAACTACATGGAGAGACCCTGTCTCAAAAAGACAAAAAAA